GAGAAATTTATGATAAATTAAATAGGAAGCTTCTAGCAAACCATCACAACTGACATTTAAAGCTGACCAGTCATAATTGGTCTAATCCATACCAGAATCCCTACAAAAAGAAGGGGAAGAGAAGTTATGATTTCTATTCCCTGGACTGCTGCACTGGCTGTGTGTGCATTGACAGCTCACTCATGGGAGGTACAGCAGAGACCAAGTAGGTGGGAGCGGTGTAGGGAGTTAGTTCACCCTTTAATTTTTTGTGACAATGTGAGCGTACACTTTAAATGAAAGTAGATATACCATTTGCAACCTTAATAGTCACTCATGAGTAGTGGGATGTTGTACTGGCCAGATGGATGGTACAATCATACATACTGTATGTAAAAATCTTCACCAGTAGGCCTTCCTTATGTAAAAAGCATATTTGTTTGTTTTTTAAAAAAAAAAAGAATAGTACCAAAAAAATCTGAAGTTTCAGGACCTATCAGGGTCACTTTATAAAGGCAGGTCATCTTTAACCGCTTCCACGCCGCCCTATAGTAGAAATACTGCTACAGGGCAGCACGGGGTGCGCAAAATCACGTATATCGCACCCTAGGTGGCCTTGGCTGTCCATCACGGGTCCCGGCCGGTGTTTGCCGAGTATCTCAGACGGGGAAGAGACCTGTGTATAAACAACACAGATCTCTCCAATGTCAGCTTTTGCACACACTGCTTTGTATGGCTCTGCATAGAAGAGCCATACAAAGCAGTTTGCTTACAGTGAAAAACACACAGACCCCATAGTAAAAACAGCACACAGTTAACCCTTTGATTGCCCCACGTTAACCCCTTCCTGCCCAGTGCCATTAGTACAGTGTCCGTGCTTTTTATTAGCACTGATCACTGTATTGTTGTCACTGGGGATGTCAGTGACACCAAGTCAGTTCCCCCCAGTGTCAGAATGCCTGCTGCAGTCCCGTTTAAGTTGATCGCTGCCATTACTAGTAATAGTTTATAACGCAATAAAAAAACCGCAGATGCGATAAAATACCACCGAAAGAAAGCTCTATTTGTGGGGGAAAAAAAAAGGACGTAAATTTAATTTGGGTGCAGTGTTGCATGACCGTGAAATTTTCAATTTAAATTAACGCAGCGCCATACCGCAAAAAATGGCCTGGTCCGGAAAGGGGGGTAAATACTCTGGAGGGCAAGTGGTTAAAGGGAACTTGTGATGATAGAAGTAAGGTAGCTGCCATTGTTCACTTTTTTAATTTAAATTTGCTTATACATTGCCTGCAAGTATGGGACTCCGTACTCTAGTTATCTTATGTAACCCTTTTTTCCCCTCACTCTCTAGAACCAATAACCCTGTCTTTCCACTGGGCTTAGATCAACCACAGGCGTTTTCTTGGTGGGTAAGTAATGGGTTTTCCCAAGTTCAACACTTTCTCACCTCCAGGTCCTTCCCCACATGGGCCTCTCTTTGGGGCAACCCATGACATCCCCCAGTTGGAGCTCTTCCATCATCCCCAGCTTCAACATTAGCTCACCTCATTATGCAGAACTTTCACATGTCCGCTCCAGAAAAGTGCCTTTGAGCACACCTGTCAACATTACCTTGGTTCCCCTGGTCTTATCTCAGCCCTTTATGCCTCTGAACAGTTGCTCTTCCCATACTATGTAAAACCCAATGGGAACGATATCTGGCAGTTGAAACAGACCTAGCGGACTGGAGCAAGGCCTGGTCTTCTGTAGTAAAATGCTCAATTAACACAGCCCCCTTGAAGGCGGTGTATAAGATACTATTATGGTGCTATAGGGTTCTAGACCATATCACCCATGCAAATTTATGCTACAGTGACCGCTGTTTTCGGGGTTGTGGCCATTGCAATGATGTTTGCATACGTGGTAGACTTGCCCTAGATTGGTTGGGCTTTGGTCCCGCATTTTGGCCTCCTTTTTACTCTCTTCCACTTACCCATACCCTTTCTGTTCCTCTTTTCTTTCCCTGCCTCACAGGTGCACAACGTTTTCCCGTCTCATCACCTTCAAGTTTAGTTTCTTTTATGTTTCTATTTACCTGTTCTACTCATTTGAGCTGTAGACGGCAAATTCATATGGGTATAGTTGGATCCAGGGGTCGCCCCGCTGTTGTAGGGGTGACCCCCCCCCCAGCCCTCTACTTTGTGAAGCCAATATTGTGAATTGAGTTTTTGCCACTGGGGCAGCCTTTGATTGCTCTCTAATGTCTTTGTTCTGCCATCTCTTGCTGTTATGTATGCTCACTTCAATTGCAAAATAACACTGCTAGCCAGTGCGTGGGCGAATTTACTGCTTAACTATTCTCTGTTCAAATCAAATACACATTATTGAAATAGAAAATATAGGTGTGATATTTTCAAATTGTTGCATTCAACTTTTATGTAGATTTTACACAGCATTCCAATTTTGTTTGGAAATGAGGTTGTATAAATATTTTCACACAAGTTTCAAAGGAACTTTCACACAATTTCCAAACTGAATCAACTTTAAAAAATGTGAATCTTGGATGAACATTGTGTGAAAAAACATAAGTAGACCCCCATGATGTCTATTCTGCAACTGAAGCTTATCGTTCTCCTTGCAAGCTTCTATAAAATTTACACTGCCCTGTATATTCTTGCTAAGCCTTGGTGTCACAATGAATTAACATCCACATGCATCCCCAGGTTGGCCAGCCAAGACACTCAGAGATGCTGAACCCAGAAGGACTAGTAAAGGATGTTGCACTGGTGAGGAAGCTTGTGGATGTCACAAAGCTGGAGTGGAGTTAAGTGTAGATGGCTTTTGTTCTATCTTAATTGCAAACACAATGTTAAAAGGGAACCTGCCACAGGGCTGTCAGAGGATGCCATCTGACTCAAAGAAGAGCTAAGCTCCAGACAGGCAAGGAGTGAAGCTGAAGATGTTCTCTGCAAGTAACTAGCACTGCTTCCAGAAGTCAGGTGTTGGGATCCCCCAAAGCTGGAAAGGAGCCTCAGCTGTTGCAGATAACAACTGCCCTAAAAACATCTTAAAGAATAAGAGATTAAAGTAAAAATCATTATGGTCATTTTTCATTACAAAATAATTTTTCGTTTTGTGCAAAAGAGACACAATGTACAAAACATTTCATAAGATCGCACAGCATTCCTGAAGCCCTTAATGGAAACATGTCATGAAGGAAACAAAGTATCATTGCTGTTGCACTGTTTAAAATCCTAGATGGCTGGCCGTTATGCCAACTGTCTAGTTTCAGAAATGTGAGTCATTGTCCTGGCAGAGGTATGAAGATCAGGTGTTATGACTTCAATTGAGGATTGATTTTCACAGTATTACAGCTCAAGGAATAAAGTACTTAACCAAAGACAGCTCCGCAACTAGAATTTTCAAGAGGTCAGCAATAGCATTGCCCATATTTCTGTCATGACAAGTTTCCTTTTTTTAGATGCAATCTAGGAGTGGTGTATGCAGAACTTAATGACAGTGTTGGCTGTAGCTTGTTTACAGTAACAGCCAGCACTATCCCTGTAGGATCTTAATTCAGCAGTCCCAGAATGCAGCTATACGGTGCTTTATAGGCTTCATGAAAGCTGTTTGAATGCTTTGCAAATTCTTGATGAATCCAATGCAAATGTCTGGTGACCTGGGCCTTGGAAATGATGGCTATGGTCAAAGGACTAGTTACAAAATAAACACTACTTGTACTGAATTGACACCATAACCAGAGTATTTCAGGATATCAGCAATGATTGCACATAAAAATACAGCAGGGCCCACTGGATTAAAGCTCAGTTTTATGGTTTATTTATGTACCCTACAACCTTCCCCTTATAGCTGCAAACATCTCCTATGTGTGCAGTTTAACCACCCACACACCAAAATCATAGAAATGGTACTCATACATGTGTTGGGTAATTTGTGGGGAAAAGCCTATTGAAGCTTTGCCTCCTTAGACACTTCTCCAGCCAGTGACTGGACAGAGAAGGAACTGCAACTGATAATGTTATCACATGCTTGCTCCTACTGTCAGCAAATGTAAACGTAGCAAAGCCTGTCTGGCTCCAGCTGCTGCCCCTTCCTCTTCCGGTCTGCGGTGCAGAGGATGATACCAAGACAGATTCAAGAACATATTTATACCATATGTAAACAATTAATACATAACTAGATTCATTGGTTTTAAATATTTAACTGGAGTTTATCTTTAAAGAGGATCTCCAGGGTTTAGTGACGTTAAAATGGTTCATTTGGACCAAGCTGGTTCAAATTAACTATTTACTTCACTAACAGATGCAGCCACTGTGTGCGATGTATAAACTGTATGTAGCCTTCACTGCATATAGTACGCAGCATTGTATTCCTCAGTGGGACGGGAACTTCCCATCTCACTTCCAGGACAAAATCAAGTCAGACTGAGTGCTGGTCAGCCATTCACAGGAAGCTTTGTATTCAATGAATGAATACAAAGCTTCCGTTGGTTACCTGAGACAGAAATCGTGACATCATCCGCCCACCTTTACAACTCAGCCAGTCAGAGTTAGGCTTTAGCTAAAACCTCCATTGGGTCCATTATCCGAGACTGCATGGATTATCCCCTAACAGGGGCGGACTGATCATTCAAGCACTCAGGCACTGCCTGAGGGCCCGGGGTCAGTAGGGGGCCCCATGAAATGCCTCTGGTACCTTTTTTATAGGCTTTTTTGAGTGTGGGCAAGGACACAGGGGCCCCATGATCCCCTATTGCCCGGGGGCCCCATGAGTTGTCAGTCCGCCCCTGTCCCCTAATACTGTCAAAGTCTAGCGTAACCAATATGTCATCAAATGTAATATAGCAGAAGTCCAAAATTTGCTTTACAGAACAAGTGACATGAAATTCAGAAAGAAATTAACTCTCAACCAGGCAGAGCACAAGATCAGTACAGGTATTCTCAGTACTGATCCTTGACCAGTTTCAAATGCTGGTAAGCGAGAGGTGAAAGTCTGTGCATCTCAATTGTGGAGTCTGAATGTTAGCTGGAGTTTTTGGGTAACCTGTAGACCCCTCCAGAGTAGACGAGCTGTTGGTCACTGACTTTCTTCTGCAGAAAGCCCTGCAGCTCCTGAATATCTATCTCTGTCACCACAGGACCAGTCATCACAAACATCTTCAGCATACTGTGGATCCGCTCCAGTGGCAGGCTTTCCAAGTTGGTTAGCATGGCCTGAATGTAAGTCCAAAAGAGCTGGTGAAATGAGAAGGAGAAACAAATGAGAATCATCGATCTTGTTACTGGTACCAAACAGTCACATGTACACAATTTCGGAATGCCTGGTAAAATTACATGGCTAGCTGATTTTGTAAATTTAATATGTTATATGGTAGAGGCAGGTAGATGTTAAGGATTAAAGTGGTAGTAAAGCCACTTTGTCAATTTTTACCTACAGGTAAGCTTATAATAAAGCTTACCTGTAGGTAAAAGTAATATCTCCTAAACGTGCACCATTTAGGAGATATTCGTTCTTTTTTTTTTTTTTCAGCGCCGGCGCATGCACTCTGAAGGAATGGCCTACCAGAGCTGTTCCTTCAGAGCACTGTGCCGTGCCCCAAGACTCCTGTGCGCATGCACGGGAGTGTTGGCATTGTGGCTCAGCCAGTCAGATGGCCAGTGCCCGCAAACCTGGAAGGAAGATCGGGTGAAAATGGAAGCCTCTATAGCGGTGTCAGCACGCTGCTAGAGGGCTTCGTTTTGAAGTAAGTTATACATAATGTGCTAGTATGTGATGCAGGTATGCGGAATACCTTGCAGGGGATTTTTTTTTTATTTTTTTTTTATGGATGTGGTTTACTACTGCTAACACTTATGAAAATTTGGAGGAAGACTGGGATGAAATCCCTAAAAGAAAGGCTGTTTTTTGCTGGCTACAAGAAACATCTGATATCTACTACAAACTAACTGACATGCAGCACAAACTTCAGCACAAGCCACATCCCATCCAGATCTACTAAATAAAATATACATTATTATACAGGATTTATATAGCGTTAACAGTTTACAACATAAGAGCAATACAATACAATACAAATTAATGCAGGATCAATAAATCTGATCTCCAGGCAAAAAGCCCTACAAATAAAATAAATACAAAAAAAAAGTTTACCTAAATAAAGATAGGCGCTAGCCGTGTACAAGTAACAAATGAGTAATGTTCCATGCACTAAAACACTTAACATTACATTAAAAAACATATATATGATCATCAAGTCCACAGATCAATGTATATTGCTCATCACCTTGTCTATAACAAGATGTATAAAGTGACCATTTCTTCTTCAAAAATCAAAAGTGCTCCACCATGTGCCAATATATCAATAGAAAACAAATTGGACAAGTCTCTTTTTTTTGAAGTATTATTGCCTACTGAGACCAGAAACAGTCTTGGTGGGCCTGAAGTAGCAGCCTATTATTTTTTTTAGGAACTATTGCCACAACTGAGACCTCAAATCTTCTCACCTGCAGCTCCTCCTCCTTCTGATCAGCCTGTGAAGCCATCGCTGAGTCCCCTTCTTCATCACTATCTATTAGGACCACTTTTTCCGCTTGGTCTTTCTGTTCCTCCTCGATAACTGTGAATGTCCCTTGAGGGTCTTCACGGAGGACACCTTGCTGGAGCCAGAAGGTCATTTTCCTGCGCAAGGAAGCAACAGGAACCTTCAAAACCTCGCTGAGCTCTTCTAAGGTCCAGGTACCTAGATAAAACATCAAGCTGCAATTAATTTAGGATCAGCATATGTGCTTCAAGTTTAGGGCCTCATTCACACAAGCTATTTGGTTTGGCAGCCAATTCTTGTGCGTGGGATCGCAGGTGGTTCCAGACAGCTACAGCCAGGAAGCCTGTACAATGCAACAACAGGCTGACAGGCTGACGCTGCTGCAGCTGTCCATCACCATTCACATGTAATTGCACAACCAGCAATTACATGTTGTTATGGACACATGATTGTCCCTGGACACAGACCGTTCCACAGAAAATGTTCAATGTAGTACTATAGTTTTTCTTACAAAAAAAAAAATAGGAACAAAAAGATCTTTTCGGGCTTTAAGATGCAAATGTGTACAAAACAATTTGGGTGCTTGTGGCTCCTACCCCATCTTCAACACTAATTTAAAGGCAGATGGTTTTTCACCTTAATTCATGCTATGCATTAAGGCAAAAAAAAAAACAAAAAAACACAACATTCTGGGTGCAGCTCCCCCTCTTACTTATCTGAGCCCCATCTCTCCCGGGTCTCTCTCCTCATTGGCTCACACAGCAGCGGAAGCCACTGACTCCTGCTGCTGTCAATCACAACCAGTGAGCAAATGAGGCAAGAGCAGGGGACGGGGCCAAGCTGTGCTCTGTGTGTGAATGGACAATGTCCATTCACAGGAGCATAGTTCGGGAGCGTGCCTGCTCAATTGCCCCCATAGCAAGCACTCAGCAGGGGGGAGGAGCCAGGACTGCCGGCGGGGCCCCAAAAAAGAAGAGGACCCAGCTGCTTTGCACTGAGCATGTAAGTATAATTATTATATTTATTTATTATTATTATTATACAGTATTTACATAGCGCCAAAGGGTTTGCTCAGCGCTGTACAATAGCGGGGGCGGGACAGAACATGAGACAAAACAGTACAATACAATACACGAGAGGTTCGAGGGCCCCCTGCTCTTTTGAGCTCACAATCTAGGAGGGAGGGGATAGTGGTACAGGAGGAAGTGGCTGTGGGGGATGGAGTGGTAGGAGGAGTGGAGGAGATCAGTTGTTAGGTGAGGGTGGGGTAGGCTTCCCTGAAGAGATGGGTTTTCAGGGTGCGCCTGAAGGTGAGGAGGGTAGGTGATAGTCTGATGGATTGGGGTAGGGAGTTCCAGAGGATGGGGGAAGTCCTGGAGAAGTCCTGCAGTCGGGAGTGGGAGGATGAGACCAGGGAGCTGGAGAGTAGGAGGTCCTGTGAGGAGCGAAGGGCACGGGTGAGGTGGTATTTGGGTATCAGGTCAGTTAGGTAGTTTGGGGGCGGCGTTGTGAATGGCTTTGTACAGTGGGGATCGAAAGTTTGGGCACCCCAGCTAAAAATTTGTATTACTGTGCATAAAGAAGCCAAGGAAAGATGGAAAAATCTCCAAAAGGCATCAAATTACAGATTAGACATTCTTATAATATGTCAACAAAAGTTAGATTTTATTTCCATCATTTACACTTTCAAAATAACAGAAAACAAAAAAATGGCGTCTGCAAAAGTTTGGGCACCCTGCAGAGTTAATATCTTGTACTGGGTGCCCAAACTTTTGCAGACGCCATTTTTTTGTTTTCTGTTATTTTGAAAGTGTAAATGATGGAAATAAAATCTAACTTTTGTTGACATATTATAAGAATGTCTAATCTGTAATTTGATGCCTTTTGGAGACTTTTCCATCTTTCCATGGCTTCTTTATGCACATTAATACAAATTTTTAGCTGGGGTGCCCAAACTTTCGATCCCCACTTTAGGTCAGAGTTAGTAGTTTGAATTTAATGCGTTGAGCAATCGGGAGCCAGTGAAGGGATTGGCAGAGGGGGGTGGCAGATGTGTAGCAGTTGGTGAGGTGGATGAGTCTAGCCGCTGAGCTCAGGAGAGACTGGAGTGGGGATAGCAGTTGTTTGGGTAGGCCAGTGAAAAGGGAGTTGCAGTAGTCTAGGCGTGAGATAATGAGGGAGTGTACGAGTTATTTAGTAGTGACTGGGGTGAGGAACATACATATCTTGGAGATGTTGCAGAGGTGGAGCCTGCATGACTTTGATAGTGATTGGACATGAGGTTGGAAGGAGAGGTTTGAGTCCAGGGTGACACCCAGGACTTTGGCGTGTGGGGTGGGATTGATGGTGGCGTTGCTAGTCATGATGGAGAGGATGGGGGGGGGGGGGGTGCGGCCTGGGGGGGAAGACTAGGAGCTCGGTTTTGGACAGGTTTAATTTGAGGTAATGGAGCGACATCCAGTTTGATATGTCATTCAGGAGAGGTGGGCGATGCGGGCGGAGAGTGAGGGGGTAAGTTGAGGGGTGGAGAGGTAAATTTGTGTGTCGTCGGCATAGAGGTGATAGTTGAAGCCGTGAGAGTGTATCAGTTTGCCAAGGGAGGAGGTGTAGATGGAGAAGAGGAGGGGTCAGAGGACAGAGCCTTGGGGGACACCAACAGAGAGGGGGAGAGAGGGGGAGGTGGCAGCGTTATAGGCAACGCTGAAGGAGCATTGGGATAGGTAGGAGGAGAACCAGGAGAGAGCAGCATCCCTGATGCTGAAGGAGTGCAGTTTAGTAAGGAGGAGGGGGTGGTAGACAGTGTCGAAGGCCGAGGAGAGGTCAAGGAGCAGGAGGATAGAGTAGTGGCCATTAGCTTTGGCGATATAATGTGTTTGTTATTTTTTTTGTTTTAAATTACAACCTTTGCCTTTTCCTAATCATTTCTATGCACAGAATGAGCTGAAAGAAGATCAGTCCCTGCTCTGGTTACCTTGGCTTACAGGATCACCAAGAGCTAAAGCAACAATTAAAATTTTCTGTGCCCTTATAGTCATATCAATTGACAGCAAGCTCACAGAAGCACAGATAGCCATGTTAGTCAGCCTCCCAGCTAACATGGACCACGCAGAGTGTCTGCAAAGGATGCATAGGAAGAAGAGCTGCCCATTATTTTAAAATAGACTACAAGGTTTTTCAATCTATCAATTTAAACAGAACAGAGGATTTCTCCATAAAACAAGCCAGTGTTGAACCCAGACTTACTTTTATTTTGGAAGTTTAGGATGATGGCGGCATGGACAGGGGACACGGAAAAAGAGAGAGTGCGGTCAGCTAGCTCCACATCCAGGCTCACCAACCCGAGATGGTGCTTCCAGTTTAGTGTCCTCATTGCCTGGAAGAAGAAGGAAACTTTGTTATAAGTTATGACAAAGACCATCAAATCTGTACTGTGAGAATCAGCCTTGGATCTTACCTTGAGTTTCTCATATCGCCTAGTGAACATTTCCATGGTTTCTTTAATCTGCTCTGGGAGTTCCAGCTTCTCATCCTTTAGTGCTGGCCAAAACTCACTTGAAAGGATGACTGCCACTAGGTTAAATGGAGGTCTCTCTTCTTCCAGGAGCTTTTCCTCCTCATCACGTATATTTGCATTGATGCGGCGAGAATCTGCCATGTCCTGTAACAAAAACATTTTTTTTGCTATAGAAGCCCTAAAACTACCAATGCAGCACACAGCCCTAGGGTTTATTACACAGCCCAGAAAACAGAGGGACCATATAGCAGCAGTATGGCGTAAATTTGGCCATAATGCTGCTTTAGGGGAAAAAAAAAAAAAATGGGCATATATATATATATATATATATATATATATATATATATATATATAAAGCGCACAGGTTTGTGCTTTAGAAGTTTTCTCTCTATTTTGTCTTCTTCAGAACGCAAAAGCAAGGAAAGCCGAATCCATTCTGGCTAATGGGGTGGGGGACAAGGACCTGTCACATGATTCAAAAAACATGCTAAAGCGATTCTGAACAATACCGCCTTTAACTGAACAAAAGGCAAATTTAGGTGAGCAAGAATAAAGGTACAAATACCAAGTGCAATGAGGTTCCAGGGGATATGTAGATAACCACAAAATGGGCAGCTCCATCAACTCCAGCAATGAGACATGAGCACAAAACAACAAATAAAAGAGCACTGGCAACCCTGTGGAAGTCAATAAAGTTACAAGCCCAGGAGCAGATGAAATCAAAATTCACTTTATTGTTGGGTTAAAGAGCATGACATGTAGGCGTGCCCAGATTGATACATCACCAAGGCAGTGGTGAATAGCGAATAGAGGGGTTAATATCTGTGGGTGGCTATTAAGGATGAAACACTCCCCCGGACCCTCCTATATATATTTTAATTGCCGTTTCCTAATCACATGATCTGAGGAAGGGGGCAAGTCCCCGAAACATGTTATCATGATGCCCAGCTTCTTTCCTTTGGTTTGACATGGTTTGAGTGCTCCTCGAGTTTGCCCTCACCAGCCCTTGTTCGGGCAGTCTCTCGCAAGGTGTATGACATTACAACCGGATCTGGGACAGGTGACTTTCGGCGCATTTAGATTTTATCTGTTCCTGGGCATGTGACTCCATTGACTTCCACAGGGTTGGAAGCGCTCCTTTATTTGTTGTTTTAGGTGAGCACAGACCTGCTTTCTAACTCCCACACATTCTACAAAAAATGAGGAGGAATCGATTTGCGTTTTGTTTTAAGATTCTTGGCTGCGCCATACAAATTTAGTCTTTTAGCTTTTGTGTCCATCTGTGAATTAAAAAGGTTTTCATCCCAGATACAATCCAAACATATACAAATATTTAAGCATCTATCCAACTCATCAGAGCAGAATTTGAATCTAGGTCTTTACAAATTAGTTAAGCTTTGTGATAATTATATAGATCCTTTCTCTTGTTGAGCAAATGCTAGCAACCTTAAAATAGACTTCATAGTCTGCAACAGCTAAGTTCTATGTAACAGCCCCATATTCAGAATGACAAGCATAAGAAAAAAAACTACCAAAATAAAAGGATGAAAATCTTTAGACCCCAACTTTTGGCCACTTGCCTAGGCGAGGGGATAACATTACTCAAAGCTCTTGCAGGATACTTAGAAAGCTGAAGATCTCAAATGTTGTTGAAAAACCTTAATTTATTTATTTCAGGTACTTATATAGTGCCGTCAATTTACACAGCGCTTTACATAAATATATTGTACATTCACATCAGTCCCTAACCCTCAAGGGGTGTCCAATCTAAGGTCTCTAACTCACATTCATACATACACATACTATGGACAATTTAGACAGGATCCAATTAACCTACCTGCATGTCTTTGGTGTGTAGGAGGAAACCGGAGTACCCGGAGGAAACCCACGCAGGCACAGGGAGAACATGCAAACTCCAGGCAGGTGGTGCTGTGGTTGGGATTGAACCAACGACCCTAGTACTGCCAGGCGGAAGTGCTAACCACTAAGCCACTGTGCCACCCAGGAGCAAGATTTGAGATTCTCCAATTTAAGATCTCTGCTGCAATTTACTATTTAGGACCCTACATACGATCTAGGGCAAAAAGTGGGAGAAATAGTATAGTGTTTGGTTATTGCAGACTGTCCACTATAAGCATGTTTAATTTTTTCCATCCTACATGATTTCTGTATAAGCAGTAAGGAAAGATGTAAAAGATTATATAACTTTAGTTTAACCAATAGCCGCCCTGCCAATAGCCATTTGGCGGCCGGCAAAATGCTGTAGATTTCTGGGTGGATGCCATATGGCGTCCTCCTGTGCATGCGCAGTTTTCGCGCTTACAGAGCGTGCAGCAGTGCGTTCTGTCACCGGCCGTGTACCTCGGACATGGCCAATGACAGATCTGAGTACCGGCCCCCGTTGCCGGTACCATGTGACCTGCTGTGACCAATCACAGCAGGTCACATGACAGTTGTATACAATGGATGGCTTCATTCATGCCATCCATTGTATACTAGTGTCTAACTGTGAATGGTCACAGCGATCACATGCACATGTCATGTGATTAGCTGTGGCCAAATCACAGCTAAGCACAAAAAGAAAAAAGCCCTGAATGAATCGATGTCATTCAGGTAATTGCTTGCTTATAGCAAAGTAATTGTGTAAAAAAAAAAAAAAAAAAATACTGATCATTTCCCCAAAGTAGTACAATGTTACTATGGTAACATTGTACTACTTTGGTCAGAGTGAAATATGAAAAAAAAAAAAAAAAAATCTTAAAAAAAAGAAAAGAAATGTAATAAAAAATTAAAAAAAATACACATACATACACATATATATATATATATATATACATACATACATATATATATATACATATATATATATATATATTTATATTGTTTTCATACTGTCACCAGTCAGTGTCAGATCACTGCCATGCCAGTTATATGATGATGCTGTACTGCACTGGTGACAGTATGTAAAAAAAAAAAAAAAAAAATAGTGAAAATACATTTTTTTAATTTTTTAATTTTCCAAAAAATTATGACAAACAAAAAATACAACTTCAAAAAACTCGCCATGCCTCTTATGAAGTACGTCAGACTCTCTACTTTGCAAAAAGAGGTCAATTGGGGGATATATGTACTGTTCTGACATCTTGGACCTCAAGAAATTAGATTGGCTGTCAGTACTTCAGGATTGATCAATATTCAGATCTATACCATAGTTTGTGAACTCTATAACTTTCCTACAAACTAAAAAATACATCCTAATTTGGGTTATTTTCACCAAAGACATGTAGCAGAATACATCTTGGCCTAAATTTATGAAGAACAATTATTTATTTGCAAACTTTTATAACAGAAACAAAGAAAAACGTGGGTTTTTTTTTTCAAACTTTTCGGTCTATTTTTGTTAATTTAGCAAAAAATAAAAACCCCGGGCGGTGATTAAATACCACTAAAAGAAACTCTAGTTTGTGTGAAGAAAATGATAAAATTTTAGTTTGGGTACAATGTTGTATGACCGCGCAATTGTCAAAGTGTGAGCGCGCTGAAACCTAAAAAAATGGCCTGGGAGGGAAGGGGATAAAAGTGCCTGGTATAGAAATGGTTAATAGCTTGTTTGCTTTAAGTGTGCATCTTGGCATTATAGAATATAGACATTTTCTGTACCTTCAGCATGACTTCGCAGTAATGCATCTGAGCCTCTCCGAAGCGGAGCTTCAACAATTCCACATTACGGATTTCTCTAAAATAAGAGAGAAACCATGCAGCTTTAAAGTTGATTGAAATTTGTGAGCAGCTAGTAGACTTTTTCTGGGATTAACTAGTGTAGAGAAAGAGGTCAGGACCTGACGACTTTACTGGGAAATTTCAAAACCAATAATTATAAGATATGGGTTACTAATGGATAAATCAGTGATTTGTTCTTCCCATAAGACATGAAAAGTTCCTATGTTTACCTCTCAGAACTGTAGCTGAACTGGTGGAGCAATCTGTCAGCGAGAAGGGTTCTGTATTCATTAATAAACAACTCTTTGCTGCCGTAAATACTGACCAGAAGGCTGATGATGTCAGAGGAGCGACGCTTGGAGCCACTTTTACCTAGAAGAAAAGGATGTAGACAGTACCGTTACAAAAGCCATCACTGCAGCTAAAGGAGTTCTGCTGAGCAGAGCTACAATCCAGAATAAGCAGTAATGTTCGGTTTAGCCTTTGTTTAGCATTGAATTGTGTGCACATATAGTGCTATCACAGGACATGGGAGAATAATCAGGTAACATGGTGGATGGGGGGGGCGGGATTATGGTTTGGGGTTGTTTTTCAGGGGTTGGGCTTGGACCCTTAGTTCTAGTGAAGGGAACTCTTAAAGGTGTCAGCATACCAAGACATTTCATGCTCCCAACTTTGTGGGAACAGTTTGGGGATGGCCCTTCCTGTTCCAACATGACTGCGCACCAGTGTACAAAACAAGGTCCATAAAGACATGGATGAGCGAGTTTGGGGTGGAGGAACTTGACTGGCCTGCACAGAGTCCTGACCTCAACCCGATAGAAAACCTTTGGGATGAATTAGAGCTGAGACTGTGAGCCAGGCCTTCTCATCCAACATCAGTGCCTGACCTCACAAATGCACTTCTGGAAGAACAGTCAAACATTCCCAAAGACACACTCCTAAACCTTGTGGACAACCTTCCCAGAAGAGTTGAAGCTGTTATAGCTGTAAAGGGTGGGCCACCTCAATATTGAACCCTACGGACTAAGACTGGGATGCCATTAAAGTTCATGTGTGTGTAAAGGAAGGCTTCCCAATACTTTTGGCAATATAGTGTAAATAAGATACTGCATACCAGGATCGGCATCCACAGGGTCTGGCACCCAATCCTCTGGGTCTGACACATCGTCATCACTCTCTTGACCATTCTCTAGGACCACAGGATCAGCCTTAGACAGCTCATTGGCCAAATCCCCTTCAGCATCTCCTGTTAAACCAGCAACAATTTGTCGTACGGTATCCTCTCTTGTTCTGTTGGGAAAGAAAAAAAAAATAAAATTATAACTTTTACCTGACAGTCATTTTGACTTATTAAAGAGTTTTAATAGGAGTTATGCATTTTAAAAAGTGTTTTACAACTGTTTCATATTATTTTTAGGTTCATCCTTTGCCATTGTAGGAAGGGGCTTTGCAGAATTGCAAAGATTACATAACATGCTAGAGACAACCTCTTGTATTATAATATTCTGAGCAAGGGCATACATTCACTATGAGTGAGAAGAATAATAAAGCACCATCATCTGCAGAAGTACACAGAAAAAAAACACAGCCTGCATGGGGAATGAGCAAATACTGTTGCTGCCTAATACAGTGCCTTGAAAAAGTATTCATACCCCTTCAAATTTTCTAAATTTTGTCATGTTACAACCAAAAACGTAAATGTAGTTTATTGGGATTTTATGTGATAGACCACACAAAGTGGCACAGAATTGTGAAGTGGAAGGAAACTGATAAATGGTTTTCAACATTTTTTACAAATGAATATCTGAAAAGTGTGCGTGCATTTGTATTCAGCCCCCCGAAGTCAATACTTTGTAGAACCACCTTTCGCTGCAATTACAGCTGCAAGTCTTTTTGGGGATGTCTACCAGCTTTGCACATCTAGAGAGTGACATTTTTGCCCATTCTTCTTTGCAAAATAGCTCAAGCTCTGTCAGATTGGATGGAGAGCGTCTGTGAACAGCATTTTTCAAGTCTTGCCACAGATTCTCAATTGTATTTAGGTCTGGACCTTGACTGGGCCATTGTAACACATGAATATGCTTTGATCTAAACCATTCCATTGTAGCTCTGGCTGTATGTTTAGGGTTGTTGTCCTGCTGGAAGATGAACCTCCGCCCCAGTCTCAAGTCTTTTGCAGACTAACAGGTTTTCTTCTAAGATTGCCCTGTATTTGGCTCCATCCATCTCCCCATCAACTCTGACCATCTTCCGTGTCCCTGCTGAAGAAAAGCATCCCCACCACATGATGCTGCCACCACTATGATTCATGGTGGGGATGATGTGTTCAGGGTGATGTGCAGTGGTAGTTTTCTGCCACACATAACATTTTGCTTTTAGGCCAAAAAGTTAAATTTTGGTCTCATCTGACAACAGCACCTTCTTCCACGTGTTTGCTGTGTCCTCCACATGGCTTCTGGCAAACGGGACTTCTTATGGCTTTAACAATGGCTTTCTTCTTGCCCCTCTTCCATAAAGGCCAGATTTGTGGAGTGCAGGGCTAATAGTTGTCCTGTGGACAGATTCTCTCACCTGAGCTGTGGATCTCTGCAGCTCCTCCAGAGTTACCATGGGCCTCTTCGTTGCTTCTCTGATTAATGCTCTCCTTGCCCGGTCTGTCAGTTTAGGTGGATGGCTATGTCTTGGTAGGCCTTCATGATGCTGTTTGCTCACTAATGTTCTCTAACAAACCTCTGAAAGCTTCACAGATCAACTGTATTTATACTGAGATTAAATTAAATTACACACAAGTGGACTCTAGTTGCTAATTAGGTGCCTTCTGAAGGCAATTGGTTCCACTAGATTCTAGGGGTATGAGTAAAAGGGGGCTGAATACAAATGCATGCCGCACTTTTCAGATAATTTGTAAAAACTTTTGAAAACCATTTATCATTTTCCCTTCCACTTCACAATTATGCGCCACTTTGTGTTGGTCTATCACATAAAATCCCAATAAAATACATTTACGTTTTTGGTTGTAACATGGTAAAATGTTGAAAATTTTAGGGGGTATGAATACTTTTTCAAGGCACTGTAGATGTGCATTTATAAACTAAACACAGAGTCAACAGGTCAGAAAGATGTCTGCCATTTGTAAACAGTGAAAGTATGGAATGATTCAATACCTCAGGTACTTCCTGATTGGCTCACAGGCCACCTCCAGAATCACCATAGAAGGATCCAGTTCTCTCAGAGCTTTAATGGCAGAAATGTATAAGGTGATTATATCTGATGTATTCACACCTGCACAAGACACAAACACCAGTGACTCCCATGAAAGATTTGTATTTAAATCTTATTCATTCAAGTTGTGTGGTCAGCTGTTTTGCAACATTTTTTCCTTTTTAATTTATTTTTATCCCCATTGGAGAGCTTTCCCTTCACTTCCTAAGTATGTGGATAAGGTTATTCCTTTCTTCTCCCTCTTTAACCACTTGCCGTCTGGGCCATGTACATAAACGGCCAGACGCTGGAGTGGGTGGCCATTTATAAATGTCCTCCAACTTCCCTGCTTGTGCGAGCTCCCTAGGCACTGCGATCTGGTGCCCACTGTGTTCTCTAGACACAGCGGAACACCGATCTCTGTACGGGACCTCTGTGTGAGGTTCCGATTCATGTGATCACTTCCTGACATCATTGCTTACCACTAGTGAAATCTGTGAATGATCACAGAGGTCACATGGTACAAGGCTATTCACAACAGCCTTGTACCATGTGACAAGCTGTGACCAATCACAGCTCACACAGTATTTCTCAATGGCTGTGAATGCAGCCAGAGAGGAGAAAATGCTTTTAGCCTTTATGGGTGTAAAAGCAATCAGTGTAGAAAAAAAAAAAAAAAACCCCCCCCCAACAAGTAGTACAGTGTCACTATGGTGACACTGTACTGCTAGGGTGACAGTATGTAAAAAAAAAAAGAAAACAAATAATGATAAAAAATGTAAAAAAATGTTTTTTAAAAATTACTTTTGGTTATAACTAAATTTGGGTTATTTTTTTTTTTTACTAAAAAGAGATAACTGAATAAATTTTGGCCAAGATTTATGAAGAAAGATTATTTATCTGGAAAATGTTATAAGAAAAACTTTTTAAAAAACATTTTTGGACTTTTTCATTTATATAGCAAAAAAAAAATAAAAATCCCAGTGGTGAATAAATACCATCAAAATAAAGTTTTATCTGTCTCCAAAAAATGCTAAAAAATTCATATGGGTACAGTGTTGCATGACCGCGCAATTGTCATTCAATGTGTGATAGCACTGAAAGCTGAAAATTGGCCTGGACAAGAAGGGGGTAAAAGCGTCCAGACTTGAAGTGGTTAAAAGTATACCCTACATAGTGTCGCTTCTCCCACTCTGCTATGCAAGGGATTACAGTAGGGCAATAATAAAACTAATTCAGGTCCTTATGCTAGATTAGTGTAAAAATACAATTAGGGTTTTCATTGGTTTGGCTTTATTGGGCAAATGCAGCTTGTTGTTCACAATCCATACATAAATATATACATAAACACACACTTAAATAAGCTAAAATACAGGAAATGAATGTTTAACAGCAAGATAGAAATAGAATTCTCACCAGGATGTAGCAACCTGGTCTCTAGAGCGGATTTCAGGCTTGAAAGTAATTCCTGCCTCTGATTGGTCCGTTCCAGACAGTACTTTAAATCCTTGATGGCTGGTTTAGAGTCAGGAAAATCTGGACAAAATAAAAATGTTAAAGGGTAACTTGTCATGAGAGATATATATAGGCCACCTCTGCTACCCTCTCCTCCTACAATTTACGTTTCCTGGATGTTTGGCTCAGAGCTTGAAGTAAAATTACAAGCAGCCTGTTGCTGACATTAAAGCAGTACTAAATCAAAAACCATAAATGTAACATATTGCAGCTTAACAATCATTATATGTAGTACAATATAATACATGTTTGTTTTGCCTGTACAGTATGTGTGGGCACAGTCACATGTCTCCTCCAGAGGGGATGTGACAGGGTGACAACATTGAGGCAGAACTTGTTACCCCATAACAGGGAGTCCCTGCGCACACACACACCTTCACCTTGGCCAGATATTACTTTAATTGAAACTGCCGATTTAAGACTGAAAGCAACTCTTAATTACATTTACTTTACAAAGTTTTAAGTTTTTTTTTGTAATTAGGCTTAGTACTACAAGTGAACTCTAACAGTTTTCTGCAGTATAGTGGTGCACCGAAATGAAAATTCTGGTGCCGAAACCGATACCTAAAATTCAGAATGCATGTGGCCGAACCAAAACTGAAATCTCTGCGTATGTGAGGAGGTTCCAATTTTTTTCTGTATTTTTTTCTACTTTCATGTAACTTATGATTTTATTGCTATCACATAGGGGAGCAATAGTCCCCTATGTGATAGGATATGAGTGACAGGTCCTCTTTGTAGGGGGGAGGGGGTGGGGAGAGGAGCAGAGCAGTGTATACAGTGAGGTAGCAGTGTATACAGAGAGGCTCCCTCACTTGCTGTCACTATATGTCGGTGCTGATTTTTAAATGAATTGCCCGCTTTTTTTTCTTCACTATAGCTCACAGAATTAGCTGTCACTTTCCCCAGAGCTAAAGAAAACTTTGTTTCTTTTATCTCCTGGGGGGAAAGTGACAGCTGATTCTCTGAGCTATAGTGAAGAAAAAAAAAAAGCCGGTAATCACATTTAAAAACCGGCAGTGACATAGAGTGACAGCCAGTCACTGTATACACTGCTCGTCTGCCTTTCTCCGCCGCCCTACCCTCACATCTGCAGTACACACAGTCCCCTGTATCGGCTAAATTTTTCCTATTGGCATTATTTTCAGATATGTTTCGGTGGCTGAAATTTCGGTGCATCCCTACTGCAGTTTATTAGCAATCTTTGCAAAGGCAGAGCAGCGATATTTTTCGAATTAACCAATTTACTACTTACCTCGAATAATACAGAAAAGTTCATCAATGCGCATGCTAGCGTAGAGGCGGTAGAAAAATCGCTGAACATGACAACGCCACCGTTTCAGGGTACTCATAGCTTTATGTTTGGAGGCTTGAGATGTCTCATCCTGCAGGAAGACTTTACTGAGCCAGCCAATCACCTTCTCTATCCACTGCAGAAACAGAGGATTATAGTTTATATTAGGTATCTTGCATTGTCACACACACACAATGGTAAATCAATACATTTCAAACCAATTCAATATTTTAATGGTGTGCCTAAACTGTGCATTCTAAAATAATTATAATATTAATTTTGAAATGATTAGGTCATGTTCATAAGACAAAATAATAATAAATAATAATAATAATAATAATAATAATAATAATAATAGGTATGTATATCAAGTCTCAAATGACTGGCAAACCAATAATTTACAGTTAAATGCCTACTGATAATTTACTGTTGCTACAAAGCTCTTTGCCAGGTACACGTTCATTGAACTGAATCGTGTATACCGAACATATTGCTGTATTTTTAATAACCTGTCACCTGGTAGCCAAGGAAAAAAAACATATTTATTTTTTTTTTCTTCATATGTAGTAGCTAAACCTAAATTTCTGGGGTGTGTGTGTAGTTACACACTCCCGCAGCCCATAGAGTGTTCAGTTTCAGTAATACACGCACGTGAAAAGGGATATGCCCATTCCATTGTTATGTGTTGCTTAAATGTTTTTATATCTATCTTTTTTGCTGTGTAAACCAACAGCATCACTTGATTTTGTATACACAAATCAGCAGTTAGTTAAGAAACACCAGCGTTCTAACCTTCATACTCATTAATGTTAATACGGCGTCTGTCACTTGATAAGGTGCAGCCCTCTAAAGATCAGGGAATCTGGGTAATGTCAAGAGAAAACACAAAAGAGGGCACACTCTCCTTGTACATTACCGTGATGAAAATAGAATTTATTTAAAAAATAGGTCACAAATGAATACTCACAAATAGACCATAAAATCAGACATAGAGCCAAATCTTTCAGTCCCAGACAATGGGGTTCTGTCCCAACAACTGCCTGGTTGGAACTAGCTGATGCGTTTTGGGAGAAGCACTCCCTTCCTCAGAGCTGAATCAACCAGAGGTGCCAATGCCCCATATATGTCAGTCATTCGCGGTCTATGAGGAAGTCAATTTGATGACAAAGCGCATCAAAGTGGAAGTGCCGCAGCGGCCATTTTTGAATAGGTCTTTTGTACTCATCCATAATCACTAAGAAGAGGTGAAAGTGGAGATTAAACTAAGGATCCAAAGGCACACATTGATTCATGCAGGGTAAGGTGCATGCTCAAAGAGGAAGGTAGGAGCACATTTAATGGTTTAAACACTGGATGTGGATGGTGCACTGTACACACCAATCAAGAGTTTGGGATGTATTGATGAAGAGATTTACATAGATTACACACAAAGAATGTGCTCCTTGAGGGTAATAGTATTTATTGTGAATAATAGAATAATGGTGGCTATCAACCACGGAGTGATTTATACATTTTGAGCATGTTTCTGGTTTTGTTAAGTGAGCACACGGGTGTATCACATTAATGAGTTAATTAGAACTTACTACACTATATTAGTTTATTTTGATCTTTGGGAGAGTTGGCACAGTGGAGTAGAAGGAAAAAGAGAAGAGAGGGAAGATTGAATTGTAAAGAACGTATGCTGATTTGGAAGAATTTGGTGAGAGCATATGGAGATCTGTGTGGTGATTGAAGGATAAGCTGTGTGCTGATTTGTGTATGCAAGACTGTTTGTTCTATCCAGGGGGGCACTTTTATTTTCAGCTGCACACTGATGTGACTTTTGGCACCTGTGGCAATAAGAAGCATCACTTAATTGCCATTCCCCTTTGTATCACTCCTTATACTCTCCTTTCCTCGCCTCTTCATTCAACAGCTGATGAAAAGGGAAACAGCCAGTATTTCTGGGTATGAGGCAACTTATGAGGTGTGACAATTTAATTCCCTGAATGAAGTGTATTTAAAAAAAAAAAAAAGTCAAAAACACGTTTGAATTCTTTAAAAGATGTGATGAAATTTGAGGACAAATGTTCTTTCTGATCTTCTGTCAAGATTTGAGGCACCATCTTTCTGGAAAGCTTTCTCATTCCCATATCCTCCATTAGGATCTGCCGCACTGTTTCCCTGTTCATGTTCAATTCTTCTGCCATCATATGCAAACTCAATCTTCGATCTGAATGTATGAGGGTTGCCAGGAGCAAAGGCTGTTACATGGCGGAGGTAGTGAGTCCTTATCCACTTGACCTGCAGAAGGCTTTATCTCCTTCATGTCCAGGGCATTTTTTGCCATTCAGCACTGTTACTTTAAAGTGATAGTAAACCCAGGACCCTGCATTCACTATACCTGGTCTCCCACAGTACACACAACATGAAAATGCAATTATTTTAGTAAATATAAACTGCTAAATATCTTTTCTCATCAGCAGTTAGAGCAGTCTTGTGACTTCAGCAGAGCACTGGTTAAAGCTTGTAGGAGGAGTTTTCTTTTTGCTCGAGGAGGATGAGAAACCTCTAATCCTCTGTCTGGACAGTGCTGATTGGCCCTGTGCTGATCACATGCACCCTCCCAAGAAAAAAAAAAACCTCTCTAGCAATACACACCAAACTGAGCACGTGCATGTGACCACGGGTTCAGTCTGTATCAGGTGGCCATTTCAACAAGAGGAGGGGCAGAGAAGAAAGGATCAAACAGCCTTTTTACACAATGCAGAGGATTAACCACTTAGGTCAGGGGTTAAAATTTCGAGTACAGACCTACTAGCCCAGGGGTCTGCAACCTTTAAGACATAAAGAGCCACTTGGACCCGTTTCCGAGAGGGAAAAAAAGACTGGGAGCCGCAAAACCATTGCAACATTTAAAACAAATCCGACACTGCATATATTGCAAAAAGCGCTCTGGTCATGAAGGGGGTTTAAGGGCCCAGTAAGCAAAGGGTTAATCAGGGCCACAGTGTATCGTCATAATCACAATCATAGCCTTAGGTCAGTGGTGGGCAACCTTTTTTTTCAACTGAGCCAAATCTCGCCAAAACCACGATTGAAATTTATTTTGAGAGCCACATTTTTAAAACTGAAAATACATCCCCCATATAGTAATTCATCCCCCATATAGTAATTCATCCCCCATATAGTAATTCATCACCCATATAGTAATTAATCCCCCATAGTAATTAAACCCCCCATAGTAATTCATCCCCCATAGTAATTCATCCCCCATAGTAATTCATCCCCCATAGTAATTCATCCCCCCTATAGTAATTCATCCCCCCTATAGTAATTCATCCCCCATATAGTAATTCATCCCCCCTATAGTAATTCATCCCCCCTATAGTAATTCATCCCCCCTATAGTAATTCATCCCCCCTATAGTAATTCATCCCCCATATTAAGTCCCCAAGTCCCCCCTGTGTCAATTCACTTACCTTTGCTCCGCGCGTTCCTCTCGCCGTGTTCCCGCGCCGTTCCGGTGTAGCATGAAAATCTGTCTCCTATGAGGATCTGTCCCCCTCGACGTATCTGCGCATGTGCCAGTTTCAGGCATTAGCAGCCGATCGGCGATCTCCGGCACATGCGCAGATACGTCGAGGGGGACAGATCCTCATAGGAGACAGATTTTCATGCTACACCGGTCTTCAGGGCGGACTGTGAGAGGAGCCTAGCGGGAGCCTAGCTCCGCGGGCCGGATTAAAAGGTCCGCCGGGCCGTAGTTTGCCCATTGCTGCCCTATTGCCTGTCACCTGGTGGGCAGTGTGCTCCGGAGCCGCAGCCAAGGTGAAAAAGAGCCGCATGCAGCTCTGGAGCCGCGGGTTGCCGACACCCGTACTAGCCGGTCACTGAAAAAAAAAAAAAAAAAAAAAAAAAACCTTACTCTCCACCAGTTGCCCCACCCAACCTTGCCCGGGTCTGCCCCCACCCCAAACCCCACCCCCAACCAACCACACCCCCTTAAAGTTTATGAAATTACATTTTTCTTTAGAATAAAGAGTCCAAAATATCAAACTGTACACAGTAATGTATTATCCCAGCTCCCCTGTACTCCATTATAGTGATATGACATGTATACAGTAATCATTGTATACATGTCATATCACTACAATGGAGTACAGGGGAGCTGGGATATACATACTGTATACATGTCATATCACTATAATGGAGTACAGGGGAGCTGGGATATACATACTGTATACATATCATATCACTATAATGGAGTACAGGGGAGCTGGGATATACATACTGTGTACATGTCATATCACTATAATGGAGTACAGGGGAGCTGGGATATACATTACTGTATACATGTCATATCACTATAATGGAGTACAGGGGAGCTGGGATATACAAACTGTATTCATGTCATATCACTATAATGGAGTACAGGGGAGCTGGGATATACAAACTGTATTCATGTCATATCACTATAATGGAGTACAGGGGAGCTGGGATATACATACTGTGTACATGTCATATCACTATAATGGAGTACAGGGGGGATATACTGGTATATATCACTATAATGGAGTACTGATATACATGTCATGTCATATCACTATAATGGAGTACAGGGGAGCTGGGATATACATACTGTTACTGTATATACATGAATACAGGGGAGCTGGGATATACATTACTGTATACATGTCATATCACTATAATGGAGTACACAGGGGAGCTGGGATATACATTACTGTATACATGTCATATCACTATAATGGAGTACAGGGGAGCTGGGATATACATTACTGTATACATGTCATATCACTATAATGGAGTACAGGGGAGCTGGGATATACATTACTGGGGAGTAATGTATATCCCAGCTCCCCTGTACTCCATTATAGTGATATGACATGTTGTATACACTACAGTACTTACTCCTAGTCCCTCCGAGTCCCCCGCGACGGTGGAAAGGGTGTCTCCTCTCAGCGGAGCCAAAGAAGCCGGAAACTGGAAGTTGTAAACCAGAACTCGGCTTCACAATGACGCTTGGAGCGCAGGTGCAGTTGCTCCATATTTCATCTGTGCTCGCCACAGAGGAATTTCTCCTCGCATTTGGCGAGCAGCTTTTTCAAGCCCTGCCTTAGGTTCCACAGTGAGTATAACAAGCATGCTTTACTGCATATATAGACTGATTTTACTGGGTTTAGTAATACTTTAACTGCCAATTGCTCAGTCATGCTACACTGTGCCCAAATTAAATTTATATATTTTTTCACACAAAAAGAGCTCAATTTTGGTGGCATTTAATTACCAATGAATTTTTTTGACCAAATAAAGTAAAAAGGCGTATATTCGCGCTGACTACCAATCAGATGGCAGAAATAGGTAGTATACAACCTAATAATATGTGAAAGTGAAAAGTGCAGTGCTAGACAAATATATGAAACTAATAAGATTATAATAAGGGTTCAAAAATAAAAGTCCATGAAACCAAATGATAAAAAAAGTGTTAAATAAATGTCCATCCACCAACATATACAAGTGCTCTTGATTGTAGAAAAAACTATTTTGATTAAATGTACCACCACCGTCTCAGTGAAACTCAAATTCACCAGAGACTGCCACTACAGCAGCATACACGCTCTTATAATCAAGCAGAACCGCATGTATCTTGTCATAGATATCGATGAATATATGCCATTTTTTCTGCCCAGACACTGGTAAAAAATAAAGCTCACCAGGAGCGAAAAGCGTTCCTCCAATAGTGTAGTATTTATTGTATGTAGGGTAAATAAATATATAAAATCAAATACCAAGCAAACAGAAAAATCCAGCTTACATAAGCTGCTGCTGCAGACCCGAGATCACGCAGTGGCATGACACCAGCACTGAAAACTCCTCTCCGACATGTTTCGTCCAATCGGACATTATCAAGCGGTATTACAGTGCTGACATGTTACACATTTACATAATATTCCATCTCCGCCCCTTCTTTGCAATCAAGCACAGGCCGGAACCGACATTGCAAAAATGTCCATCTTGGAAAGACCGGAAGTGCTAAAACCACCATCTTTAACCACTTCCCGACCGGCCGTTGTATATAAACGGCCGGACGGTGGCACTGCAGGGTCGGGTGGCCGTCTATAAACGGCCTCCCCGCACCCTGCTTGTGCGCGCTCCCTGGGAGCGCGCAGCACCGCGATCCGGTGCACGCTGTGTCCTCCGGACACAGTGAAACACTGATCGTCGGACGGGACCTCTGTACGAGGTCCCGATCATGTGATCACTGATTGGCCAATCAGTGATCACATGCAAAGTAGTAAGCAAGATGTCACTTCTGACATCATTGCTTACTATGTGTGAAATCTGTGAATGATCACAGAGGTCACATGGTACAAGGCTATTCACAAAAGCCTTGTACCATGTGACAAGCTATGACCAATCACAGCTCACTCAGTTCTTTTCAATGAGTGCAAGAATGCACACAGAGAGAAAGAGAAATGATTGCTTTTATATCCTATATGGGTGTAAAAGCAATCAGTGTAAAAAAAAAAAAAAAAAAAAAATCTTCATCACCCCTCACAAGTAGTACAGTGTCACCATGGTGACACTGTACTGCTAGGGTGACAGTATGTAAAAAAAAAAAAAATAAAAATAAAAAATAATAAAAAAATAAAATAAAAATGTAAAAAAAAATGTTTAAAAATTATAATTTTTGCTTATAAACTAATTTGGATTTTTTTTTTTTTTTTACTAAAAAGATAACGGAATAAATTTTGGCTAAGATTTATGATGAAATATTATTTATTTGCAAAATTTTAAAAAAAAAACACTTTTTTTCAAATTTTTTGGACATTTCATTTACATAGCAAAAAAAATACAAATCCCAGTGGTGAATAAATACCACCAAAATAAAGCTTTATCTGTCTCAAAAAAATGGTAAAAAATTCATTTGGGTACAGTGTTGCATGACCTGACCGCGCAATTGTCATTCAAAGTGTGATAGCGCTAAAAGCTGAAAATTGCCCTGGTCAGGAAGGGGGTAAAAGTGTCCGGTCTGGAAGTGGTTAAAAAAGGTCATCATTGGGTAACAGTCTAAAACCGGATGTCCGCTTATGTAAGCTGGCTTTTTCTGTTTGCTTGGTATTTGATTTTATGTATTTATTTACCATACATACAAGTCTAGTGCTGCACTTTTCACTTTCAATTATTTTTTTTATTTCTTTCTATATAAACGAAAAAACACGAAAATTTTGGATAAACCCCTCCACATTTTTCTTAGTTTCTGTTATTTGTTATGTAATTATGTTTTTTTTTTTTTCTTTTTTTACATACTGTCAACAGAGCAGTTCATAGTGCCTATAGTGAGTGACATTGTACTACTCTTAGTGGGTGATCAGTGAGTTTTTTTTTTTTTTTTTTTTTTTTTTTTTACACAGTTATTGCTTATAATGGACAAAGGATTGAACTGCTGTGCACCCCAAGGGGCGCGCTAGTGTGCATGTGCTAGGCAACGTAGGGGTACATGGTCTAGCTTGGCTGTGCCACCTGCTAAGAGTAAAACTACTGTGGGTGGGTGGCTAGTGGTTAAACCTGAGTAAACTCCAACCAGGTCAATCTTAAAGCAGAACATCACTCTCTCAATCAACATGGATTGTTTTTAATCCTTATGCTGCTAGTATTAGTAAATAGATAGGAAAGTATATCATATTTACTTGTTTTAAACTTTTTTTTTTATATTTCCTGGTTTCCATGCTTACGCAAATGATGTCATACATCCCAGCAGTCTTAAGGAGGGGAGGGACAGTTCTCAGCTCAGCCTATGCCTGAGCTAAGGGCAGATGAATTCCAGGAAGTAAATGATACAAGAATCATCTGCCCTTACTCAAGGATAGCCACGGTCAAAAATGCCTGGTGTTTTTCAAAATGATTTCTCAGCAAAATAAAGAATGGAGACATGGATGGTTAGGTGAGTTTGCACTGAGTATTAAAAACAAATTAAATAGCATTTTTGGTTTGGGGCGCTCAGATGCAGTGCAGTTCCAGTTTAACTAGGGCCAGTGTTGATGGGCTTTTGTTTTCTTCAGAATGGCTTCTCTCCCCATACAAATCTATGGAATACACAACAAGCTAAAGCAGGTCAGCTGCATCTGCAATGATCTAATAAGGGTCTCGAACTGATTGCTGCATTAGCCCATCAAATCCTTTCCCCACAGACCCTTACACACAGGGCTTTAACTTTCTGCTCCAGCAGGCAAACAAAAGCATTAGGGTAAAGTTTAGGGGACTTCGTCCCACATGCATAAAACACAGGCTCAGTTTAAGTTGGTTATCTCAACATTACCTCCAGGAATTCAGTAAGAAAGGATCTCTCATAGTCTCCACGGCATCTTTTCTCCATTCTCTGCTCAATCATCTTGTGAAGAATTGTGGTGACTGCATCTGAACACACTCTCTCCAGCAGATTCAACCTGTGGCTAAAGTTAGTGATGTCATGTCAAAAAAAAAAACTCCAAACATCAAAAATCTACCCAGCACTATAATGACTCCGTTACATAACTCCATTATAACAACATTTATTTCATGGTGTTCCCATGCCTCACATCTACTGATGATTAATCTTACATAATCGTAAATGCTCCAATTGCATGTAATTGATTACTGCTACATACTTGTGTAGCCAACACCAAAGGCACCATTTGTGTCATCTGTTAAACAGAGCTGTAGCCTTAAAACAAACATTTGCAAACAAGAAGGTACTTTACTACAGAAGATAAATAATAATAGGTATTTTCTGCAATAAAGGCTTCCTGGCAAGGAAGCTTGTTGGTGTCACAATGCCAGAACAGAGGTGGTTTTTGCAGACTTCAGTACATCTCTGCTGCTATACTTGCACATTTCCCGTTTTGTGTATTTACCCCCGGTTCACACTGATACGGTGTGGGATCCAGTTGCACTGCGTTCATGCAAACCAATGCGCTCGTCGTCAATGTTCAATTAACGACACCTCAAAAACGGTTCCTTAAAAACAGTGCAATTGCCTGAATCGGAACCCATGGGTGTGAACACCCATGCAATCAGATTCCAGTGTGGCTAAGAAAGGTGCATGCAGCTTTTTCATGCAGGTTCGATGCGATTTGAGCCATACAAAATGAATGGCCTGAAATCGCACTGCAAAGAATCGCATGAGATTTGAACAGAAATGCGGTACGTGCATCGCATCAGTGTGCACTAGCACTTAAAATGCTGCAAGTACAAAAAATACCCATTGCTCTGCTAGAAACCTAGCAAGTTCCAAACTTCCCATTTGATTTGACAACACAGAATGCCTCTGCTGCACTGAAACTCCAAGCAGTGATGTCAGCCATGCCCAGGAAATTAGGAGCTCACTGGAAATCTGGGAGGAGCATCAGGTATTTACTGTACTGGCAGAATTTTTTAAGAGATAAATCATGGGGAAATAAATCATGCAGGTATAACAAAAAAGGGATAAATCATGCAGGTATAACAAAAATGTACTGAATATGTACAAGCTCGGCCCAACATGTTTCGTCCAACGGGACGTCATCAGAGGTCTCACAACAGTGATTATACTTTGGTGCATACAAGTGCACTATTTGGTAAGCATGCACTTTACTTATTTTGGTTATGGAATTCATATCATAAAGCTCTTGCAAATATCGGCCTCTCTTTAAAACTGTCTGGAGTGTTCAAAATCTCTTCTGTGGACTGGAAAAATCAGGGCACTAAGGATTAATTTTCTTTATTTTTTATATACACGGGTTTTGTATTACTTTGTGAAGCACACACAGGATTTACAGCGGGTAAAATAAGTATTGAACATGTCACCATTTTTCTAGGTAAATATATTTCTAAAGGTGCTACTGACATGAAATTTTCACATGTCGGTAACAACCCATGCAATCCATACATACAAAGAAACCAAAACAAATAAGTTCAGAAATTGAGTTATGTATAATAAAATGGAATGACACAGGAAAAAAGTATTGAACACGCTAACTGAAATTTAATACTTCATACAAAATTCTGTGTTGGTAATTACAGCTTCAAGACACCTCCTGTATGGGGAAACTAGTCACATGCATTGCTCAGGTGTGATTTTGGCCTATTCTTCCACACAAACAGTCTTCAAATCTTGAAGGTTCTGTGGGCCTCATCTATGAACTCTGATCTTTAGTTCTTTCCATAGATTTTCTACTGGATTCAAGTTAGGTGATTGGCTGGGCCATTCTAGCAGCTTTATTTTCTTTCTTTGAAACCAATTGAGAATTTCCTTGGCTTTGTGATTGGGATCACTGTCTTACTGAAATGTCCACCCTTGCTTCATCTTCATCATGCTGGTAGATGACAGCAGATTCTGATCAAGAATGTCTTGGTACATTTTTCCATTCATCATTTCTTTAAAGACATGGAAGTTTGCCAGTACCGTATGCTGAAAAGCAGCCCCACATCTTGATGTTCCCACCTCCAAACTTCACTGCTGGTATGGGGTTTCCGGGGTGATGTGCAGTGCAATTTGACCTCCAAACATGGTGTGTATTATGGCATCCAGAGTTAAATTTTGGTCTGACCAGACTATATTCTCCCAGTATCTCACAGGCTTGTCTAAATGTTGTGCAGCAAACTTTAAAGGAGCTTCAACATGCTTTTTCTTCAGCAATGGAGTCTTGCGTGGTGAGCGTGCATACAAGCCATGGGGGTTAAATGCATTACTTATTGTCTTCTTTGAAACAATTGTACCTGCTAATTCCAGGTCTTTCTGAAGCTCTCCACAAGTGATCCTTGGCTCTTGGACAACTCTTCTGATGATTATTTTCACTCTTCTGTCAGAAATCTTGAAAGGAGCACCTGGACGTGGTCAGTTTATGGTGAAATGATATTCTTTCCATTTCCAGATTATGGCCCCAACTTTGCTCACTGGACCTTCCAGAGGTTTAGAAATCCTTCTGTAACCAATGCCATCAGTATGTGTTTTGCAACAAGATTGTGAAGGTCTTGAGAGAGCGCTTTGTTTTTACCCATCATGAGATGTTTCTTGTGTGACACCTTGGTAATGAGACACCTTTTTATAGGCCATCAGTTGAGACTGTTATTGTCATTTCCTGGTAGGGAGTCCATGTGTGCGTCGCCCTACCCATGCCGCCATTGATGGCTAGGGATGTCAATCACCGGGTCCCGGATGGAGATCCCCCCAGCCAGCACACGGAAATTGTCGGGATAGCTGACAGGGGAGACCGGTGTGTAAACAACACAGGTCTCTCTTCTGCCAGCCAGGACATGCTGCTTTGTATTTCTGAATATACAAAGCAGCATGTCTCCCAAGTAAAGTACACACAGCACATAACGTAAAACACAGCACACAGTTAACACTCTGATTGCCCCAGATGTTAACTCCTTCCTGCCCAGTGTCATTTTTAAAAATATATTTTTTTCAGATGTTTTTTAACATATAAAAAAGTAATTTTAACTTCTATTTATACATATATTTGTAAATGCATTCCAAAAATGTAAATTTGCATTTTTAACTACTTGCTCTCCTGAGGATTTACCCCCCTTCCTGACCAGGCCTCTTTTTGCTACTCGGCACTACTCTAATTCAACTGATAATTGTCGGTTATGCAATGCTGCACCCAAACGAAATTTACGTCATTTTTTTTCACACAAATAGAGCTTTCTTTCGGTGGTATTTGATCACCTGTGCGTTTTTTATTTTTTCACGCTATAAACAAAAAAAAGACCAAAAATTTGAAAGAAAAACAATATTTTTTACTTTCAGCTATAAAAAATATATAGTACATGAAAAGTTGGTTATAAAATTTAGGCCAAAATGTATTCTGCTACGTTTTTGGTAAAAAAAAATCCCAATAAGTGTATATTGATTGCTTTGTGTGAAAGTTATATCATCTACAAACTATGGTATAGATACTGTAATTTATGCCATTTTTTTGCTATAGAAAATGACAAAAACATTTTTATTTTATTTTTTTTTACACGAAGTTGTCATTTAAAATGATTTATTTCTCGCACAAGCCATGGGTATATGTGGAATTACACCCCAAAATACATTCTGCTACTTCTACCGAGTATGGGGATACCACGTGTGTGAGACTTTTTGGGAGCCTAGCCACATACAGGAGCCTGAAATCCAATGACCATTTTGAAATCCTGAAGGTGCGTAACTTCCTCATTACACTTCCTCACTACCTATCACAGTTTTGAAGGCCCCGGCATGCCAGGATAGCACCAAACCCTCCCCCCCAATGACCCTTTTCTGGAAAGTAGACACCCCAAGGAATTTAAAAAAAGGCATGGTGAGTATTTTGCAGATCTCATTTTTTCTTACAAGGTTTTGAAATATAAAAAAAGAATAGAAAAAATATGTTTTTTTTTTTTTTTTTCTTCATTTTCCAAAAACTTGTGGCAACAAATGAGATCTGCAAAATACTTAACATGCTTCTTATCAAATTCCTTGGGGTGTCTACGTTCCAAAAAAGGGGTCATTTTGGGGGGTTAGGTGCTATCCTGGGATTTCAGGGCCTCCGAAACTGTGATAGGTAGTCTGGAAGTGTAATGAGGAAATAAAGCCCTTTAAAAACCTGAAGGTGCTTATTGGATTTTGGGGTCCTGTACTTGGCTAGACTTCCAAAACGTCTCTGACATGTGGTACCCCCATACTCGGGAGAAGTAGCAGAATAGGGGCATTCTATGCCCAGCATTAGAAGTGTATGCCACAAATCATTCACTCTTCTAACCACCTGAAGACCAAGCCTTTTCTGACACTTTTTGTTCACATGAAAAAAAATAATTTTTTTTTTCTAGGAAATTAATTTAAACCCCCCAAAATTATATTTTTTTTTAAAGCAGACACCCTAGTGAATAAAATGGTGGGTACTAAAATTTTTTATGGCACATACTACTCGCGCGGCGATTTTTTCAAAAGCAAATAAAAAAAAAAATACACTTATTTTACTTTTAATGCACAAAAACACAATATATCGGCCAATTATTTGGTAAAAGATAATGGTATGCCGAGTAAATAGATACCAAATATGACATGCTTTAAAACTGTGCATGCCCCGTGCAATGGTGACAGACTGCAAACATTTTTAATATCCATAGGCAATGCTTTAAAAGCTACCATTTTAGATTTACAGAGGAGGTCTAGTGTTAGAATTACTTCCCTCGATCTGACGTTCACGGCAATACCTCACATGCATGGTGCAACCGCTGTTTACATACCGGCACAGGGTCAAGGCTTGTGCACACAGGTGTGCGTGCATGGGAGGGGCGACTTTTTTTTTTTTTTTTTTAAGTTATTTTGATTTTTTTTTTTTTATTATTATTTTTACATTGTACCTTTCATTTCTTGTTTTTGATCACTTTTAATGCTATCACAGGGAATGCAAATATCCCCTATAACTTCAATGGGCATTGTCATATATTCTTTTTTCAGAAA